AACTTCTATGTGGAGAAACTTGGGCACAGATAGATCATTACTTACCCAAAGTGCACATAGTGCCCATGAAGGAACTCAGGCCACAGGACTTCCAGTGCTTGATAAGAGAATGACTGCAAAGTCACATGAGCCCAGGGTAAAGAAGGAGAAAGTCAAGTTTACAAAATCCATCCTGATTACCCTGGGGGCAGATTCTGACCTGTGGTATTAACCAGAATTCCATCATTGTGACAAAATACCTGATATATGCAACTAAAAAGGAAGACAAATTTTCAGAGATTTCAGGCCATGGTCAGCTAACTCTGCCACTTTTGCACCCATGGCAAGGCAGACTGTCATGGCAAGAAGTATATGGTAGAGCAAAACTAACTAACACATGGTGGCCAGGAAGCAGACAGAGAGAGAAAGGGCAGCGTCCCGGGATCCCCTTCAAAGCATGTCCCCAGTGAATCAACCTCCTTCCACCACTTCTCAGAAGTGCCACAGGCTGGCAATCAAACCTTTAAACATGAGCCTTTGGGGGATATTTCAGATTCAAACCATAACACCTTTTGGGGAAGCAGGAGGCTTCAAGGGTAACCTAAGCTGACCATATCCGCTCCCCCATGCTCACTTGTAGAGGGGAAGTGAATGGAGCAGAGTGAGGAAAACAAAGATTGGCCTGGGAGTAAAAAAAAAAAAAAAAAAAAAAAGCGGAGAAAAGATAGAGAAAAGGGGGCGGGACAAAGAGAAGAAAGAGAAGCCCAAAAGTATGAGTAAAATTCAATTCTGTTTGATTTTCCCTTTCGTTTATGAGGATTCTTTTACCCGTTTATTTATTCATTGCTCAGTGCATATTTACTAGGACTTACTCTTTGCTAAGCTTCATTTCAGCAGAAAGTTCCTAGTCACAGTTTGGCACAGACTATACAACTCTCCAGTTCTGGAGATTTCATCTTGCTAGGCAGCCAGACCTTTTCCATACACTAACACTGCAAGAAAGAAGTTTGTTTTCCATGCTAAGTATTCGTACCACCATTTCTGTCTTCCGCATTCTCTCCAGGAGAGTCAGCCCCAGGCTTTGGGGTTCAGTAGCCTCTGGAATCCAGGCCACGAAAAAAGCCTGAATCCAAAGGAGTTAACCATGAGGATGGTGCAAACTCTATACCAGGGATCTTGAGTACCTTTCTGCCTCTTGTTAGCCCCAAACCTCTAAGTCTCAAACATTCAGGAAGCACAGATTTGCATATTCCCATTCCAGTCTAACATGTCTGACTCCTGCTGAACTTGGCCAGAGTGGTCTTTTTACAACCCCAAACCACCCAATCTTTTAGGAAGAACATAGGACTAAAATACTAGCCTCTGCTTTATACCGTCACCATCACAAGACAAGCAATGCAAACATCCCATCATTCAAGACAAGAAAGATGAGAGTTCCCTCCAAAGGAAGTTACCATGGAATTTATTCACCAGACATATATATGGTAACAAATAACTAACTAGTCCCAAAACTTTCCACTTAAGACTTTCTTCAGAGGTTACCTAGAATAAAAAGATACAAAATCAGGATTTTTGCAATCTTATTTTTGTTTTTGATCCATTTTTCTGGAACAAAATGATAATGCATTAATTTAACTTTCTCCTTGATAAGGCTTCTTCTGAGTCAGGCTTTCCTATCTCTCTTCCTCCTTGAAACCTAAAAGAAAACAGCTAGAACTCAGATAGTTCTGGAACAACAGTTTTCAGAGTACATCAGGTAACATTATGGATTACCTATGGACAAAACCAAAGAGAATAAATCCAACAAAAACAAATCCACAATCCTGGGCTGGCTGCCCCATGCAGAATTCTGGAACTCTACCCCTATTAAATAACATTCCCACCAATGTAAACTCATTCTCCATTCTTCCCTAGGGCTCATCTGGGCAACATTCCCATTTCTTCTTCTTGGCATTTCCTGGTCTCTGTGACCCTCCCTGGCCTCCCAGGTCTGAGCATACCTTTGGCTGACACCCAGCCCAGACTGCTAAGAAGGGAATTCTGTCACCAGGAGACTGTCATCAGGGACTTGGCTTACAAACCAGTTCTGTCCAGGGCTCCTTCAAATTCTCATGAGAGTGTACCATGGTAACCGTCCTAGGAGAAACTTTTAAAGTACCTCCTATTTAACTTTAAAGAAGCCTTCAGTTGGTAAGGTATGCATCCATGCCACTGATGTTGCAAGCTGAAACATCAGTTCCACTTTAGTTCCACCAGTATGAACAGGCAGAATTAAAAAAAAAAAAGTGACCACTCCTTTCATCAAAAACAGAATGAGGTAAAGCACAAAGACACTACAGAGTCTATCCTGGCTCAGTTAATTCACAGCTGTCACCTTGGGCAAGTTACTTAATCCCTCTGGGCCTTCCTTCTCTAACCTCTGCATTATGGGGATAATAATAGTATGTTCCTCATGGGATTGTTGTCAGGATTAAATGAGTTCATGGACTGGTTTAGAAAGGTGCCAAGCACAGAGCATTCATTCAGTAAATGCAGCTATCACTGTTATTTCTGGGAGAATCCTAAGGAAAAGAAAAATACAAATGATAATGTTATAAGTGAGATCCAGGTGTAGAGGTAAGCCAACTAAATGGAGGGGCTGGGGTTGTAGCTCAGTGGCAGAGTGCTTGCCTAACACGTGTGAGGCCCTGGGTTCAATCCTCAGCATTATCATAAAGATAAATAAATAAAAGATAAAGGTATTGTGTCCATCTGCAACTACAAAAAATTTAAAAAAAAAAAACTTTCTGGAAAATTCAGGACAAAAGCCATTTTGGAGGAAAAGTATAAATGGGGGTTAGGGGTTTTCTTCACTTACCCAGAGAGGTGATCTACAGTTTTGCAGCTCCCAAGACACTTGCTGCTTGGGACTGGCTGGCTACGATCCAGAAAGAACAGATTCAGGGGTCATTAGCCCCTATTTCAGCTGCGCATTTTCAAGTGACTCTTCCCAAGGTGAGAAGGGGAGGATGAGAGAGGTGTGGAGGGTTTCTGTTTTTCTCCATATGTTCTTAATGCTCCCTCTCCCACAAAGAAGGGAAACTCTTTGTGGGAGAGGGAGCTACTCCCTTACTGGGTGTTTTGACCTTTGAGTCACCTTGGCAGCCTGAATTCTTTGGCTCTTCCAGGAAATTTTAAACAAAATGAATTTACTGAGCTAGCATTCCTTTTGATTTTTCCTTCTTCAGTGGCTAGCTAGCGCTTTTCAAGAAAAAACACCTCTTATTGCCTAAAATGTATTTCAGACCTTTGACCTATATGTAGTAACATCAAGTGAAATAATCTTGGAAAAGTTGATAAAGCAAGCGTGAAAACCCAGCTGTGTTCAGTGCATCAGACTTCTGATGACAGGCACGCCGTGGAACATAAATAGTGGGTCAAGTTTACTTAAAAGTCCTTGTAGGAAAAGGAAAAATGGAGGGAAAAGAAGACAAGAGGGAAGACAAGAGGAAGAGAAGTTTGTAAGCAAGGATCACTTTATGGGTACATGTCCAGTGCACTGATAGAGGGCCCAGTGCTCAGAAGAGAACCTTGTGCTCGGGGTACAATGCTCTGGGCTCACCGTCTAGAAATCCTCAATTTATTTTGTAAAAATCCAGTAAGACAAAATCTGATAGGACCTGGGTCAGAGGCTCAGTGCCCTGCTTCCTTGGTTCCCACCCAACAGCTGCTGCTGCCCTCTGCTTGTGACCTTGGCCTGGTCATAAACCCTGGGAGGCCCAGGCTTGATCATGTGCACAGGCATAAGGCAGTCCCAGGCACCCTCAAGGATCTGCATTTATGATAAGAATTCCTAGCACAAGGAATACCACAGTAAATAGTATATAAAAATCACTATAACAAGGCGAGAGACACCATGGTTGAAAGGAACTATTTTTTTTCCCTGCATCATGGGGCCACGGTTGGTACTCACCACTTTTTTTTTAACGTTAAAAATTATAGCCAGGCTCAGTGGCATATGTCTGAGGCTACTTGGGAGGCTGAGTCGGGAAGATTCCTTGAGATTAAGAATTCCAGACCAGCCTAGACCACAGAGTGAGAACCCATCTCAAAATTAATCAATTAATTAAATTGAATCGACTCTTCCAGTTCCTAGTAGTCAACCTCAACAGTAAAAGAAGAAAATAAAATGACAGACCTGTCAAACAAGTTGTTATCTAAGTGGCCCAAACATCAAGCCAGGTCTGATGTCACTCATTTACACTCATTTATAGAACTGAGGTCTATCCTTAGTTCACTGATTATAGAAGACAATTTCACTCTTATGGGAGACAAAATAATAATAATAATCCTTGCAGAAATTTGGGACAAGTGAAAAATTGTTGGAGATATTAAATAAAATTTGTAGGAAGCCACTGTCTTGAACTAGGTTCCCATACTGAGCCCCATCAAAACATTAAAAAATAAAAATGGCATCAGCTTTGCTTAAGTTCCATGGCACCAAAGCAAAATTATTATCTGACTTTCAGCGAAAGTAGGAGAAATAAGGCTGTATTTCCTAAACAGACCAACCATCACAAAAATGAAGTCCCTTCTTCTTTAATTCTTATGTCCTTTTAATCTTTAGAAAAAGAAATCTGAAATCATCTAGTATTAGTGTTATATTTCTACTGTTCTGTCTCAATTTGCTTTTTGTTCTTTGTTTCTGTCTTTGTTTGTTTGTTTGTTTGTTTTCAACTGTTTTCTCTCAATAAAACCAAACTCCTTTGCTTAGCCTTTTGGGGCACATATTCTATATTATAGAATGAAGTATTTTCTGGTTTTAGAATAAAAAATAAAAGCAATTAAAACCTTTAAAGTGTAGTAAATTTGTCCCTTGAGATATAATTTGTATAGAACATATTTTGCTTCCATGTTTTCTTTTCTCTCCATGGATTGTTTTGTGTTGTTGTTGTTTTGTTTTTTCACTCTGTATTTTCAACTTAACAGCGATACACAGCACTGGATTGTTCATACGGGCATTCTCTGACTCTGCTTTTCAGAGTGGAAACAGAATCCTGTGTTCCATCATTCTGAGCCACCATCAGGGTCCATCCATAATCAACTACGACGATGAGAGTGGGAAGACGTGTGTACACATCGCGGCAGCTGCAGGCTTCAGTGACATCATTAACGAACTGGCAAGAGTCCCCGAGTGTAACCTGCAGGCTCTAGATGTGGATGACAGGTATCCATGGCAGAAAGTGCTGGAAACTATCAGACATCTTCCCTGAATGCAAATCATAAAATAAACATGTTCAAGGAGTTATCCTATACGATTACATCCTTCTTGCCTGTAATACACATGTGTCTATGACAATAAAATTTGCTCTGTTTCAGTAAGAGAAGGAAAAAACCGTTGTTGTGGAGAGAAATACTGTGACTAGGTATTGTCAGATTTTCCACTTTTTGCTAAATGTTTTCAGTGTTCTCAGAAGGCTTTTGGTAGATCAGTTTCCTGTTCTGTGTCCTTTTCTCAGCTGTAGGTTTTGTTTTCTTTATTCCTGGATTATGTCATAACATCAACAAGTTCTTATTACCCAGAGATGAGCATAAGTGAGGCTTTGTATTCAGAATTACTGGGCTTCTAGAACTGGAGGGACCTTCTTAGGTTTTGTTCAATCATTGAAATGCATTGGTTGGAAAGGAAGCTGAGTCCAGGAAGGTGAAGAGTCTCATTCTCAGAGCGAGCTGCCAACTCAATGAAGATTTGTACCCCTGTCTTCTAGATTTACAGCTTTTCATCTACACTGTCTTTCCTTTCATTTTCCTTTGGCATTGAGTTGATGGAAATGTAAAGAAATATATATATATATATAAAACCACAAACAAGACTATTGGAAATAAGTAGAAGTTTTGTATACTATAGTTTTTTACTCTTTTCTACTGAAGTGCAGAATTACTCATCCACTTATCATGATGTCCCAAAAAAGCACTTCCCTTCACACCAGGAATTCTTACAACAGGGAAACAATTTGGGGGTTCCACATAGGTCTCAGAAGCTAAAAGTGGGTTTCATTGAAATGAAGGCATAAATCCTTGAAAATAGACTTTTTTTTTCTCCTAAGGGTAGGCAGTGATCCTGAGCAGGTAAAAAAGTAGAGGCATGTTAGTTGCATGAGGAGAAAAGGTGAATTATCCATAAAGAAAAGAAAGGAACAAATTTCGGAAAGGAGGGCTGAAGGGACGTTTTCCCAGTTTAAAACACTCTTAGAACCATCTCTGAACAGACTATTTCCCCTTTTGCAGTACTATGCAGTTAGCAAAGAAAATCCAATTCCCTGGGCCTCGGGGAAGAAAGTAAACCAAGGGGAGGAAAAACAGTACAAAAAGTCCAAGGAACCTTAAGGTAAGTTCAGAGGAAGGACATCCCCAAGGAAAGCCCAGTTTTTCTGCTCCAAAGCTCAATTCCTTGTGCACAAATCAAGTCATTTGATGCCTCCGTTTTGTTTTGTGTTTTTTGCCACTGAATGTGTGAAGGTGCCTCACGCTAAGACTAGTAGTTTCTGTGAGTAGTTGAAGTTTTCAAAATTTTCACCGGCTTCAGTGTTTTAACTATTTATAGTCATTATGAATTCCCTTCCTTTTTCTTTGCTTCCCTAATGAGAATTTTATCAAAAGAAAATTTTTTTTCGTGAAAAGGGAGAAAAATAAAGTAGCAACTAAAAAAATAAAAAAGATAGAGAAAAAATACGGAGAATTAGTCCTCCTTAATATTTAAGTACTTCCTAAATCTACAGTATTTAAGATATTGTGGTACTCACCTAAGATTCATGGCACTGAAGCATAATCCATAACCAGTGCGTGTATTTTAAATGTCCCAAATTATCGTTTTCTGAGGTCACAAGTTCCTTTCATAAGGAGCTCATTTGTCTTTTTTTTTTCTTGGTTGTTCAAAACATTACAAAGCTCTTGACATATCATATTTCATACTTTAGATTCAAGTGGGTTATGAACTCCCATTTTTACCCCATATACAGATTGCAGAATCACATCAGTTACACATCCACATTTTTACATAATGCCATATTAGTAACTGTTGTATTCTGCTACCTTTCCTATCCTCTACTACCCCCCTCCTCTCCCCTCCCATCTTCTCTCTCTATTCCATCTGCTGTAATTTAATTCTCGCCCTTGTTTTTTTTTCTTTCCCCTCACAACCTCTAATATGTAATTTTGTATAACAATGAGGGTCACCTTCCATTTCCTTGCAATTTCCCTCCTCTCTCCCTTTCCCTCCCACCTCTCGTCCCTATTTAATGTTAATCTTTTTTTCATGCTCTTCCTCACTGCTCTGTTTTTAGTTGCTCTCCTGTGTAATACTCCATTGTGTATAAATGCCACATTTTTTAATCCATTCATCTATTGAAGGACATCTAGGTTGATTCCAAAGTCTAGCTATTGTGAATTGTGCTGCTATGAACATCGATGTGGCAGTATCCCTATAGTATGCTCTTTTAAGGTCCTTAGGGAATAGACCAAGAAGGGCGATAGCTGGGTCAAATGGTGGTTCCATTCCCAGCTTTCCTAGGAATCTCCATACTGCTTTCCATATTGGCCGCACCAATTTGCAGTCCCACCAGCAATGTACAAGTGTACCCTTTTCCCCACATCCTCGCCAGCACTTGTTGTTGTTTGACTTCATAATGGCTGCCAATCTTACTGGAGTGAGATGGTATCTTAGGGTGGTTTTGATTTGCATTTCTCTGACTGCTAGAGATGGTGAGCATTTTTCATGTACTTGTTGATTGATTGTATGTCCTCTGAGAAGTGTCTGTTCAGGTCCTTGGCCCATTTGTTGATTGGGTTATTTRTTWTCTTATTGTYTAATTTTTTGAGTTCTTTGTATATTCTGGATATTAGGGCTCTATCTGAAGTGTGAGGAGTAAAGATTTGTTCCCAGGATGTAGGCTTCCTATTTACCTCTCTTATTGTTTCTCCTGCTGAGAAAAAACTTTTTAGTTTGAGTAAGTCCCATTTGTTGATTCTAGTTATTAACTCTTGTGCTATGGGTGTCCTATTAAGGAATTTGGAGCCGGACCCCACAATATGTAGATCAGAGCCAACTTTTTCTTCTATCAGGCGCAGAGTCTCTGATTGGACATTCTTCTACCAAGTTCTCCTTCCTGCATATGTCAGGGCATTCTCTGGGGAATGTTCCCATGTTTTATAACCCATCCCTTGGCTATTGATACTCCAACCAATGCTACAGCCTTACACTCATCATCTCTTGCCATCCAGAGACCACTATATCAGTCCAATGCTTTTCTCTGATGAATTTCTTCTAGATCATAGGCCCTGACCTTCAGTTCCCACTATGATAAGTGGAATAGTGTGCTATGTTTGCAGGACTCCCCTGAAGCTTAGAGATAAGAAAGGAACTATAGCTTAGATGATTTGAAATCAGGTGATACAGGTTTGCCACAAAGACCCTCGGTATATTTATCAGAAGTTTTCTGTATGTACCCCTCATTTATTATCAAAACAAGGTTAGTTTTCCACCCTATTCTTCTGGACTTCTTCCATGGTAGTGATCAGAGGAATTAAAACCATCCTGTCTTTGCAATCATTGTAAGGAATATTTCACAAAACTTCCAAGTGAATTTTCACATGTTGGTAAGCCTGAGTAGATCAATGTCCAACTCTTCAACTAATGAATTTATTGACAATATATTCTTTAGATAGGAGGTGCCTCAGCTGGTTTTAAAATAAATATTGTCTGGAGACCTCTCACACATAGAATGGGACAAATCATATCTGCCTCCTTCAAATACACAAAGTTATTGATCACTGAATATGTGGCCTTATTAAGTATTATACAATTGCTACTGTAGCATAACAAGAAGGGGGGATGTTTAGTTGAGAGCATGAACTATTTGGGGGAACTATGGGACTATCTTGTATACATGGATGCTCTCCAAACATTCTAATCCAGGCCCCTTGACAGATACCCGACTGTAAATACTTTTCTGCCCAGCCAGCAGTCTAATATTATTAATAGACTAACAATATTATTAGTCTAATTTTACCACCCATGCCAGAGAGGTCACTTGGGCCTCTCAGAAGTGCCCTTCAGCCCAGGGCTGGGATCTTAGCCCAAGGCCTCCCATCTCCTCCTTTCCTTACCCAGGATTGGCCCATTTCCAGAGTGAATGACAGGAGGGATAACCATTCTCTTCATGGGAGACCCCATTCATAAGGATGTCATTTTTCCCTTTGCCTCTCTCCATCCTGCCCCATCCCCCCAGAAAAAAAAAATCAGAGCACGCTGGTATAACACCAGTATGTCAGCCCAAATATGGTTTACTCCATCCTGAACAAGCCAAGTATAGAACTGAATGTCCAGATCCTCCTCACAGTATTTTTCAGAATGGCCTGGTGACTAAGGTTATTCATCTTCTTCCATCTTCAGGATCTTCTCTGATCTCCTGGTGACAACTTCCAAGCAATTGCAGGTCCATAGTTTCCAAAGATAGTAACATATAGGCACAGAGCATCATAAAACTACAGTTAAGGCACATTTCTTCAGAGTAAATATAATCTGCAAAGAAGCAACTCTCTTCCAACAGGTTGACTTTCTATATGCTTCAGAATTAAGACATAGCCTCTCAAACTTCTCTTTCAGATAAAAGTATTTGCTGAACATGAGAAACACTTAAAAACCCACTGGGATAGGTACAAAATCAAGTAGTCTAAATTCTCATTTCTACCTATAGAAATTTTTTTTAAAAAAAATTAGTCTAATATTACCCAGAATTATTGTGTCATTAGTATAATACAAAAAGCATTATCATAAATGTTTCCCTTTATTGACTATTTTTAATGAGCTCCTAAATATGCCAGGCAATGTGCTAGGTGCTAGAAGCAACACCATGTGAAATGCTCCATTTCCTTCCCTTAGGGAGTTTATTGTATATATAAGAGGAAAGGATGAGCAGAACGTTGTGGCTCATGCCTGAAATCCCAGTGACTCTGGAGATGAAGGCAGGAGAATCTCAGGAATTCAGCGAGGCCCCAAGCAACTCAGCGAAATCCTGTCTCAAAATAAAAAATCAATAGGGCTGATGATGGGATGTGGCTCAGTGATAGAGTGTCCCTGGTTCAATCCCAGTACCCTCCTCCCTCACCAACAGAAAGGGAAAGGATTGCATATTTACTATGTCAAGTATCAATGTCATGTTACGACGACCCAGATTTTAGAAAGTTATACTGATTGTTATCATCTGTAAATTAACCTAATTTCTGGTTTTGAATCATCTCAGTAGAGTGGTGGTAAACCCAGTTCACCTCCCTCTTTTTCAGGCCCCACTTTTCCTTATTGCGCCATGGTTCTGGAATTTCGGGGGAGTACCAAGATGCATAGGGACAGAGGCGGATGATGGTACACCTCATCTTTTGCCCTTGTTCTTTCAGGTCTGATGACATTCAGCTGTTACCAGGCTGTGCTTGACAGTACAGTGACCTTGGGCTGCCAAGGATCCCACTGCCGAGACACACCAGAGTCATGCTGGGCCATCCCTCCCAGGGCCTCCACCAAGGAAATGATACTCTGGCCCCCGTTGCCCTGGAATCCCAAAGTCCTTCATGCTCTTATCACCGTCTTATCACACAGCTGAGGGGGGTTCTCTTTCCAGCCATCTCTCTTTATAGGTTCAGCTAAATATTTTGTCTTCGCTCCAGATCTGCAGTTAGTTTTGAACTTGACTTTTGGAAACTGACTTCTCTTTTCGACCCCATCACATCCCTCCCCCGAGGTTAAGTACAAAGTCAATCATCCCCTTAAACAAGGGAAGGAGAAAGGGTAGAAAACTATGAGTATAGTTCTGTATCTCCAAATATGATACCACCTCATTAATAAGTGATGTTCAGAAAAGTGGGCCACATATTGGAAAAACAGTTTGACTCCATACCTCACTGCACATGCCAAAACATGCATCTAGAAGCACACACTTTTTATTTTTAGTCCAAATATATCTAGAAAAAAAAATACTGGTTTTCTTCTTATATCCATCCAGAAAAATTTACTCTTTTTTTAATGTATGAATCTATAAATTTTAACATGAGTAGATTCATATAACTACCACAAACAAATTTCAAAACAAACGCCATCAACTCCAACATAAACTCATGTTGATCACTATAAAAGTTTTCCTTTTATAGTTAGTTCCTCTCCCATCCTAAGCCTTGGCAACCACTGATGAGTTCTCTGTCCCTATAGTTTTGTCTTTCCCAGAATGTCACATATATGGAAATACAGGTTATATATCCCTTAGCCAAAATGCTGAGGATCAGAAGTGTTTCAGATTTCTGATTATGTTTTTTTTTTTAATTTTGGAATACTTACCTATATATAGTAAGATATCTTGGGATGGGATTCAGATCTAAACTCACAAATTTGTTTATATTTCTTTATTTATTTGGCACCAAGAATTGAACACATGGGTACTTAACCACTAAGTAACATCCCCAGCCTTTTTTTTTTTTTTTTTTTTTTTTTTAAAGACAAGCTCTCACTAAGTTGCTTAGGGAGTTGCTTAGGGCCTCTCTAAGTTGCTGAGCTAGCTTTGAACTTGTGATCCTCCTGCCTCAGCCTCCCAAGCCACTGGGACTATAGGCATGCACCACTCTGTGAATGCCTGTAATTTGTTAATTTTTATACACCCAGGCTGAAAGTAATTTTAGTGCACCTGCATTATGACCATAACCTTTCAGATGGAACCAGGTATGGAAATGTCCATTTGGGGCATCATAATGGTGCTCAGAAAATTGCAGAGTTTGAAGCATTTCAGATTTAAGATTTTTGAATTAGAGAAGCTCAATATATATACACCATTTAATTTTTTTAGATCAATTTAGGTCACCCAGCAGAACGCATTAAAATTCATCTATATTGTTGCACATATCAGTAGTATGTTCTTTATAAGTGAGCCACATTTTTTTTTTTTAACCCATGGATCTCCTGAAGGACACTGGGTTGTTTCCAGCTTTTGACAATTAGGATAAAGCTGCTGTAAACATTAAGAATGGGTTTTTGATTAATGTAAATTTTCATTTCTCTAAATCAGCATGTAGAAGTGGGATTTCTGATTCATAGGATCAGTATATGCTTAACTTTAGAAGGGACTGCCAGACTGTTTTCCAGAGTGGCTGTTAACCATTTTACATTTCCACCAGAAATGAATCAAATTTCTAGTTGCTCCACATCTTCACAAGCACCTGCGATTGTCAGGCTTTGTTTTGTTATTATTTGGTTTTCCTTATTTTAGCCATTTTAATAGGTGTGTAACAGAATCTCATTGTGGTTTTAATTTGCATCTTTCTAATGAAAAATGATATTAAGCACCTCTTCATGTGCTTATTTACTATCCAGACATCTTCTTTGATTTGTCTTTTCAAAATGGGTTTTTTTTCTTATTGTTCAGTTCTGAAAGATTTTGCCCTAATTACAAAGCCCTTTGTTGTATGTATGATTTGCAAAGACTTTTTTCCTAGTTTCTAGCTTTTCTTTTTATTTTCTTAAGAAAATGTTAGTTTTGCTATCTAATAACTGTTTAAATACTGTTGAATATCTACCTTCTAGCTAATAAAGCGCTTTCTAAGCATAATATCATGCAAGATACCAAAAAAAAAATTAAAAAGTAACTAAATGTGATTGTTTTAAAAAATACTTTTTGGAAAAATCAAACCTTAAGTAACAAATTCAAGAAAATATATGCATAAGAATAATCTGTAAAAGATCAGTGTCTTTAATATATAAAGAGCCCATACAAATTAGTAAGAAAAACATGAATTCACCAATAGAAAACTGGACGAAGGGCATTAAGAGTCACCTCAATGAAAAAATTCAAATAGCTCATAAGCATATTTCAAAAGTTCAAACTTACTATTAAATGAATGCAAAGGAAAACAAGAGGAAAGCATCATTTTGCCCCCCAATCTGGCAAAAAAAAAAAAAATGTTAAACATGGTGATAAGAAGAGGAAAAAGGTCCTGCTGTGAGAGGGCACACTGCAGCCAGTCTTCCTGGAAGACAGTTGGGCACCATGTAAGAGCCTGAAGACGGTGCCTAACCTTTGACCCGCTACTTCCTCCTCCAGGAAATTCTCAGAAAGGCCAGAGGAGAGGGAAAGCCAATGTTTGGAGCTTGAGGAGAGGCTCCTGCGGGTACACCCATCATTCTCAGGACCAGTTCACGGATACTATTTCCATACTATAAATAGCAACAGGATTTTGCTCCTTCAACCTGAGTTGGGGTAGGAGCTGCTGCAGGCCCACAGCCTGTTCCATTCTTGAGCTTAGACACTTGTGCTTTTCCCCCGTGTGGTTCCTCCAGGACACCCCTGCACTGGGCTGCAGCGGCAGGCAAGGCAGAATGTGTCCAATCGCTGCTGGAGTTGGGCATGGACAGCAACCTGCGGGACATCAACGAGAGCACACCGCTGGCCTACGCCCTGCACTGTGGTCACACGGCCTGTGTCAGGCTCCTCTCCCAGGAGAGCAGGTGCGCATCTGTGGGCACTCATCTGCTTCCTCCTCTCAAAGGGTTATGAAGTTGATGAGTTTTCTAATGGCTTAATATTATTATAATAGTTGATAATTTCACCATCAAGTTTACTGTTGTCTACTATTAGAGTGAAACGGTCTCCATTAGGTGGAACAAAACAGGAGTAATAAGTCTGAACCCATCAGCCTAATGCTAATGGACCTTGACTCTTCTTTCTTTTTCCTCTTCCCTTGATGCTTTCTCCTTTTAATCCTCCTTTTACCTAAACTAGCAATTCTCAAAGTTTCTGTTCTCAAGGACTTTATATATCTTCAAAAATTGTTGAGGACCCCAAAGAGGTTTGATTTATGTGAGCTACACCTATCAGTATTTATGGCATTAAAAATTAAAACAGGCCAGGAGTGGTGGGTGGTCTGCGCCTGTAATCCCAGCAGCTGGGGAGGTTGAGGCAAGAGGATGGAAAGTTCAAAGCCAGCTTCAGCAACTTAGCCAGGCCCTAAGCAATTTAGCACCACTCTGTCTCGAAATAAAAAATAAACAAAAGTCTGGGACTATGGCTCACTGGCTAAGTGCCCTTGGGTTTAATTCAAAAAATTAAAACCAATTTTTAACAATTGGTTTTATTTAGTAATTCATTTAAAGTAATAAACAACCCATGGCATTTACATGTTAACACAAATGCAAATTTTAGTTAAAAACAATTATTTTTTTATAATTTCCAAATATTCTATTTTTTTTAAATAAGAGAAGCAACATTTTTCACATTTTTAGCCAATTTCTTTGATATCTTAATAAAAACCTAGTAGAATACAGCTGGGTTACCACATCTACTTCTGCATTCAATCTGATATGATATGATGTTTTGGTTGAAGTATTTTTTTTTTCTTTTTTTGGTACTGGGGACTGAACCCAGGGGCACTTACCCACTGAGCCATATCCTCACCCCTTTTTTATATTTTATTTAGAGGCAGGATATCACTGAGTTGCTTAGGGCCTCAGTAAGTTGCTGAGGCTGGCTTTGAACACACAATCCTCCTGCCTCAGCCTCTGGTTGAAATATTTAAAGACAATCTGGCCTCACATAGATAAGTCAATGGAAAAGGAGGAGTATTTCAATAGCCTTTTAGATCATTGTGAATATTTTTCTTTGATATTATAGCAGAACTTGACAAGTAGTTGTATCCTAATGGTTAGCTACAATAGGGACTCTATCAGCATATTAATGAATTTTTTTAGACTTTATTACATTAGAATCCATTACTATATTTGACGCTTACACTTTAATGGTTCTTATACCCAAGCATGATTTATAGCCTCTTAAATTGCTTATTTGGAAAATATTGGTTCACTTAGTTATGAAGAACTTTTTAAATGACATATTTTATTAGACAATATCAAAAAGTCATATTTGTTAGTACCACTAATGATCTCCTCATAAAAGCCTTTATATATTGAAATGCCATCAAGCTTACAGAATGAATACAAGTTTCCCAAAATCCTAATTTTTACTTAAAAGCTAGACTTTTGTCATTGGCAACAATAATAGCCAGGTCTTTACCTTGAATTACAAGTTCCCTTTGTGCATTTTTAATGTATCCTTATTGTATACTTAAGGTATATAATATGATGTTTAATATGCATATTTATAGTACAGTTAACTACTGGTCAAGTCACTTAACATATCCTTCATTTTACAGTTACCTTGTGTGTGTGTGTGTGTGTGTGTGTGTGTGTACGTGGTAAGAATACCTAAATTCTATTCTCTTAGACATTTCCACTATATAATACAAAAAATATTGCTATAGTTTGAATCTTGAATGTACCCTGAAGGCCCTATGTTTTGGAGACTTGGTCCCCAGACTATGGTGCTGTTGGGAGGTGGCAGAACTTTAAAGAGGTAGGTCTTAGTGAAAGGAAGTTAGGTCACTAGGAACATGGTCTTGAAGGAGATATTGGGACCCCAGCCTCTTCCTCTCTCTTTGCATCCTAGCCACCATGAAGTGATCAGTTTCCTCTATCACGTACTGTTCCCATGGTATACTATGCCATCACAGACTCAAAGCAACAAAGTAAAATGACTGTGTACTGAAACATCTAAAATAATGGCCAAAATAAACATTTCCTCCTTTTAACATGTTTATGTCAGGTATTTCATCACAGTCACAGAAAGCTACATAAATATTATTAGCTATAGTCCTCATGGTAAACTTATTAATTATACATACTCTAAACTTTGTACCCATTGGTTGTATCTCCGCATCCCTACCCTGGACTCCACCCTCACCTCTGATTTCCACATTTCTATTCTCTGTTTCTATGTATTTCACTTTATTTTTGTTGGAGAAAATATCAGAAAATACCCAACCCCACATCACTGTTGTTTGACTGCTGGTCATAAAAATAGTGTTCCATGAAAAAAAGTGACTTGTTCTGTTGGCAACCCAAACAATGCCCCATGTGCTTTACCTCAAGATAACCATCAAGCCTCAGTATATAGCAGAAGAGCTCTTGAGTTTTCTCATTTTGTCAAATAATGTATACTCAGGGGTAAATATTTAATCAGCTTAATAACTTTTTCTTACCTCAATAGGACAATACTAAATTAAGTGGCTTTCTATTTTTAACTGCATTGATGTCACTATTGTCCTGATTTGTGCTAAGGTGCCCACAGCTTTACCCACAACATCCATTGCACTACAGGTATACAGGCAGTTAAAAAGGTAAATGACCTGACATGTTGGTATTATTACTAGTGTAGTGTAACCTGCATGGAAACTCCCAAAGATTCTTGGGGACTCCTCCCCTGGGTTTCAGTGGACCATACTTTGAGACTTGCTGGCCTAAAGCACAGCCTGTAACAAGAGAAGGAGGTGGTAGTAGGAGATACTAAAATAGCATTAATTAGCATAGGAACCTATTCTGTGTGGGACCATATAGAGAATGTCAGAGATCCCAGGACTTCTTCTGGTTGTATCAGGAATTCAGAACCTATGCTCAATATTTCAAAATGCATATTGGAAGGTGAAAGAATGGAAATAAAAATACACCATGGGAACAATGATTGAATCATGTACTATGTGACCTGTAAGAAAAGCATTGATATATGCACCCAAAATAAGTGGTGATGTTTTTCAAATTATAGATTACAATATGTCACTCCAAAGAGTCATGCTGCAATCTGACTCTTAGGGGCCATGTGTGGGGGCCAGTTTCATCATTCATTCATACTGCAGAAAGCAATAACTCTTGCGGCCTCAAAAGAGAATAACAATTTTCCAAGGAACAAAAACAGAATAGTGCCTCCATGAAACTCTTGCCATAAGTAGAGCCATCAACAATTGCTGACCTTTTTCCTTTAGAATTTGCCTGCCCACAGGTATTGTTCACTTTTCTTCTACCATCACACCCAACCCCTGACATGCACATTTCCTCTTTAGCTGGAGCTCAGACTAAGATGGCTCTCCTGTCTCCTTTAGTACACTTTTTAAAGTGTTTTAGTATTTCCAACAGCAAATTTAGCAAAAAGTGAAAGAAACAAAAAGAAAGAAAGAAAAAGAAAAGAAAATACAAATAGCATAAAATGGGCAAAGTTTCTGGGGTGCATAAGGTTGGTGCTCTGTCCAGATTCCCTGGGATCCTCTTCACAGAAAGAGGAAAAGCACATTCTCCCCACCTCTGCAACTTTCACCTTCTGCGAGGTGAGGCCTGAATTAAACCCCTGGCCTTTATCTCTTCACTTACAGCTTGTCTGTCCTTTTTTTTTTTTTTTTTTTTTTTTTTTTTTTTTACACCGGGGATTAAACCCAGGGGTGCTTTACCACTGAGCCATATCTCCAGCCCTTTTTGTTTTTCATTCTGAGACAGGGTCTTACCTAGTGCTTAGAGCCTGGCTAAATTTCTGAGGCTGGCCTTGAACTTGCAATCCTCCTACAGGCATGTGCCACCACACTGGGCAAAGCTGTTCTGCTATTGAACAGTTAAGACTTGAAGCTGTTTCCAGCTTAATTTATCTCCTAGTGATTACCTAGGGTGGATTTCATAAGGGTGTTCCATGAAGGAGCAAGCAGGGGACTGAAGTGACAAGGAACCCCTTCTGCAAGGGGGTTTAAAGGCTGGGGGTTCTTGCATAGCACCTTTTACTTGAGAGGTCTTTGGGGGTATCCGTGGATGATCACAAACAATCTGACCAAGCAGATGGAATACTGGAGGTCAGTGTTTTGATCAACAATATTTCCACTTCCTGTCCTCACATACCATCCTTATCCTTTGATATTTCCGTAGAGCAGAGCCTGCTCGACCCCTTCCCTCCCAGAGCAGTCACCCCCAGAAGAAGGAGGGACGGTTCAGCATGCTCAACCAAATCTTCTGCAAAAACAAGAAAGAAGATCCGAAAGCCCATCAGAAGGATCACAGCAGGGACCGACACAGGGGGGAGGACACCTCGGAAGTCGATGACATCATCACCACCTTTGACAGCATCGGGGATACTAACTGCCAAGAACAGCCTGGTGACCAGGTGGCGATGGTTGACTTTAAGAAGAGGACCTCAGAGAATTCAAAGTATCTCTTGCCAGAAAAGAAACCTCTGGTCCGTAAAGGGCTTCCACCAATCAGAACACAGAGTCTGCCACCTATCACACTGGGCAATAACTTCCTGACCGCCTCCCATGGAACCACTTCCCTCGTTGGCCTGAGCTCTGGCACTCAGCACACCACCCAACGATCACAGAAAAGCCGAAGCGAACAGGATTTACTAAATAACAAGACTGGCTGCCAGCTGTTGTTAGATAACCCCTGGAGAGGTGACCCTAGTCAGGTGTTCTCCTACAAAGCGTGGACTGTGTCTTCCTCGGATAAGCTGCTGGACAGGCTGCTCGCTGGCCGGCCTGGTCACCAGGAGCAATCTGGGCCTACACACCTTCCTCATCTACACAACCCTTCACCAGGTAATGTCCTTGATTTCATCCTCTTCATTCCTGGCAGTCTCTACACAGGAAGTATCTGTGCAGTTCTAGGTTAGGAATTAGAAACTCGGTAGCCAAGAAGGCAGGTCAAGAGTAAAACGCTGGAGATTTATAGGTTATGAAAATATTCTGCTTTTCCACCCTGACAGCAATCAAGGAAAAAATGTGTTTTGTGCATTTTTATCTTCCCAACAAATACGTGTGAGGTCTGCCAGATTGGAGCAGAAGTAGTACCCTTTCCATTAAAAAGGATTCTTAGCTGGGCGCAGTGGCGCACACATCTAATCCCAGCAGCTTTGGAGACTGGAGGCAGGAGGATGGAGAGTTCAAAGCCAGCCTCAGAAAAAGCAAGGAGCTAAGCAACTCAGTGAGACTCTGTCTCTAAATGAGATACAGACTAGGGCTAGGCTCAGGGGTTGAATGCCCGTGAGTTCAATCCCCAGTACTCCCCCTCCCACTGCCTGCCAAAGGAAAAAAAAAGATTCTTAACCCCAATATGTGGCAGAATCACCCCTGAGAGGATGATTCACATGATTTTCTGTTTTAAAATTAGGTACTGAATCCTCACCCCAGACCTACTAAACCAAAATCTTGGCGAGGGGGGGGGGGGAAGGCAATGCCTTGTTTGTATGCATGAAGAAATGTAACACATTTGCACATTTATGGTTAAGTCTCAGAGTACCAAAGGATTACACAAAAGTTCTCCTCTCTGCCTCTTCCCTCAGCTACCCAGTGCCCCTCATCCAAAGCTACCAATATCATTAATGTTTTATCTTTCCAGAAATATTTTGCACACATACATATCTGCACTTACATACAAAATGTGTTCATACCCTTTTAAAAATATGACATATCCCACTTAAAATTTTTTATTTTTATACACAAATAAATGAGTACGTTCCCCTCCTCATAAATAAATACATCACACTAAGTAATTTATTTTTTATTGCATAGGTGATTCTGATGCACCCTAGAGGCTAGGAACTTTGGGTGCTGCAAAAATAGCTTTCAAAATCTGTTCAGTTACATAATGCCTTGTTGAATTTTAAATGAATTAATGGTCAATATTTAAAACTTAGGACATTTTACATACAAACTGAAAATTTCTAGTTTCTCTTAAGAAATATAAAAAATCTGACAGCACTGAATACAAATTCCCATGTGGTAATAATTGGTTGGATCTGAGTAATCACTGTACCCTGGGCTTCCACTGACCCCAGTTCAACTCGGTCTGCACCACTTACTCCTTATCATTATGTTACTGTTGTTATGGTAGGGTTAAGAAAGAAAATGATGTGTTTCTTGGACCCATATTTCTGTCAAACGTAGAAAAACAAAACACAAAGAGAGCAATGTATTTTAAAAAGTAGTGGAGGCCCACATTTCTTTTAGGATGAGGAACATTCTTCCCTGTTTAATATACAGCATGTTTAACTCTCTTCTCTCATTGACATATGGCTAGTGCATGAAGACTTTGAAGTAGAAAATGCTTCCCCTCACATATATTGCTACATATTTAAAAGCAGGATAAATATGGATTAGCACATAAAGGTTATTTCCTATATCTGGGAAAAACTCCACTCAAGGTTTTGCTTCCTCTGCAAAACACTAAAGGATTTGGCTGGTGACATGGGTAATATTTTTGCATTTTTTTTCTGCAGAAGGATGAGGAAGGGAACACATGGTTTTGCTACCTTTTAACACTTTAGTGGCCTCTAGGGCATAACCTAGCCTGCTTTCTTGAGTTAGTCATATCCTGAGCAAGCTAATAACTTCTCTTTTTAAAAATCTTTTGAGATTTTTAAGGTCTTATTCTCCTTCTGTTCCAAGGACAGCCTTAAACTGTCTTTTCTATCAATTTAGGATTGGGTTTAGCTACCTATAGCAGAAACCCAGTCATAGTGGGTTAAATACATAGAAGTTTATTGCATTTGTTACCAAATCAGGCACATTTTTTCCAATGTACAGTATGCCAATCACTGAAACAAGTGCAAAAGAGAATTTATCCACAAGGCAGCCAAGCATAGAGGAAGTAAGAAACTGAAATCTCAAATCCGCCACCCTGAGAATAGGGTTTGGGGATATTTATGGGGTAAAGAAGCAGGCTGATTTGAGACATGGGGAAAAGTGATTGGAGGTAAAGTCACACAATCTGCCTGTGCACAATCAAACTTCATGGATCTTCATGGGACACATGTTTAGAAAATTGAGGCATTAGCATGATGTAAAGGGAATTTTTGGCCTTGTGACATCAAAAGGTCACCCATCAAATACCTGCATAGGCCTATATGAAGTCAGTGATTTCAACAAAAGCAGCCTTCAAGTCCCTAAAAAGCAACCTGGGCAACCATTATCAAAAACCACACAAGAGAGGTGTCAGCATAGCTAATGGGAGACTATTAATATATTGCTCAACTACATGAACTGCATGGACTTCAAAATTAGTGATTAAAAAAAAAAAATCAGCTAAGAGCAAGGGAAAGCCCGAGGGCCCAGAGTTAGAGACATAATAATGTAGTTTTTGTTGTTTTTGATCTTGAACTCTTGAACTGTTGCCTCAGCCTCTGGCATACACAACAACAACTATGGTAAACTGTGCTTAGTGTGAGACTAGGGAAGCTGTGTTTGTGGACTTGTAATTACCAAGGTTAGGATTCTGTCCTCCCATGGAGTCTTGGAGACTGAGGCCTTATTCTTTTGGTGGTTACATTCTTGCAACTGGCCCTAGGGTCCTTGAAGGATGCTTCTATACTTACTTACAATTGCAAGATGGCCAGGCAAAAGGTTGAGGTCTATGGAACAAAGGCTGGGGTTACTTTCCTGGGAAAGAAATATGAAGTATGGTATGCGTTTTGCAGATTTTTGGTGACTGCATGTTCCACAGCCTAACATATGGTTTCTACCCTCCAGATCACTTCCCAGTCAATAGCTGATGATGCAGGAAGAAGTAAGGGTAGGGGAACACATGTCCCCCAACTAAACCAGCTCCCATTATGAAGTGTCATAAGGCTCACACTGCTATTTGCATTTAATTGGCCAACCTTCCCTCACATTGCAAAGAAGACTGAGAATTGTAGTATTTTAGCTGGGCACCTCACTGTCTCCCCCAAAATGGATTTCTGTGTAGTATTTTTTGGTTTTGTTTTGCACACCTGGGGTTGAAGTCAGATTCTCACACATGCTAGGCAAGACCTCTACTGCTGAGCTATATTCCCAGTCCTTATTTTTGCAAGGTCTTTCTAAATTTCCCAGACTGATTTCAAACTTGCAATTTTCCTTCCTCAATCTTCTGAATTATAGGAATAATTTCAGCTGGAATACAGGTGTGCACCACCATGTCTGGCTGAATTTGTTTTTAAGGGAGAAGGAGTAGAGATTGGATAGAAAACTAATAGAGAGATTTTGCCTCATGTGTCATCCAAAAGTTTCTGTGTTATTTGAAATAAATGGACATTTGATAAATTTGGTTGAGGATTTGCTTGGTCTCCAACAAAGTAACTAGAAAAGTCCCAGAGCAGCAGACTGGCACAAAGGAGAAGTGAAAGTTTCCAAGGCTTTCTTAAGAAATCATTTGTGCTTATTTATCCTACAGAATTAATGTCAGCATATTATAGAGATACATTCATACCCATGGTTAGCGCAGCACAATTTACAATAACAGAATTATGGAACCAGCCTAGGTGCCCATCAACAGACAAAAGAATAAAGAAAGTGTGATATGTATACACAATGGAGTTTTATTCAGCCATAAAGAAGAATGAAATTATATCATTTGCAGGAAAATTGATGAAACTTGAGAATATTATATTAAGCAAAAAAAAAAAAAAAAAGCCAAACTCAGGAATCAAGGGTCATTTATTTTCTCTCATATGTGGAAGAGGGGGAAAAGGGTAGAAAAAAGTGGCAGGGGCAGGTCTCAGGAAAATCAAAGGGAGATCAGTAGAGTAGAGGAAAGGGACCAGGAATAAAGGGAAAGAAAAGGGAAGTACTGGGGAATGATAATGGCCAAATTATGTTGTTATGTCATGTACATATACAAATATGTAATAACAAACTACAGTGTTATGTGTAATTATAACTCACCAATAAAAATAGAGAGATAAAAAATGAAATTAGCTGTGCTTATATCAAAGTGTTTATTTTTACAGCCAGGATTTAAAAATCTATTTATTTATTTATGCTAATTATGACTAGGAAGCATTCAAGAAAACTGAGTCATGATAAGAGAAATCTCCCAAGAGTCTTCAGCCTATATATGAGCTTTCAAGGATATGGATTTGCTAACATGATTGTAAAACTGGCTTTTTATTTTTGTGGAGGAAGGGACTGGGGACCAAATCCCGGGCCTCATGATGCTAGAAAAGTAGTCTACCACTGAGCTTTAAATTGACTTTTGTCTTAGACACTAATCATACATAACAGTTTTTAAATGCGAGGGGTCTTAGTTATCTAATTACTCACTAAATGATTATTGAGTGTTTACCTGATGCAGTAACACATGCCTTTGCACTCACATACTTGGGAGGAGGATCCCATGAGCCCAACAATTTGATGCCAGCCTGTTCAACATACCAACCCTCCTGTCTAAACAAATAAATAAATAAATAAAAAGAAAGGGAAAAGAGGAGGAAGGAAAACTTTGTACCAACTTTGTGTCTTCCTCCTTTTCTGCTGTTGAGAGAACTATGCCTCTAGCCCCCCCCCCGCTCCTTGCCAGGTAGTTTCTAGATAGTTTTGGCCAATAGAAGACACTGGCAGAAAATAAAGAATAGAAAAAGAAAACCAGTTGTCTCAGGCAGCATTGGTTTCCTATGGAATCTCCAATAGGCTCACCTCCTCCAGCTCTCTCTACACAGCCTGTCACTCTGGGGTTCTGGCTTCTACTAGCTCCTGGGCCTTGGTAATACCATCTCCTCCCTTTATCCCTCCAGCCTGGAGATGGCTTTCTGCCATGGCTCCTCTCTAGATTGTTCTGTCACCCTGTCCTTGTGTTTGGCTTCCCAGATTTTCCAATATAACACGAATATTCTTATGAAATTCCCTCTGTATAAATGGACTAAAGAAGTCTTTTTTTTTTAATATTTATTTTTTAGGTTTAAGTGGACACAATATTTTCACCTTACATTTATGTGGTGCTGAGGATCGAACCCAGTGCCTCATGCATGCTAGGTGAGTGCTCTACCACTGAGCCACAACCCCAGCCCCCTAAAGAAGTCTCTTTTTCTTTAAGAGATTTTTCTTTAAGATTAAGCTTAAAGAAATTTTGCCTCATGAGGCCTTTTCCAGTTACAATTAACATGCCCTAGAAAGTTGAACAAAAAGTTCAATGATTTGCTCCAAACTCTTAGTTAATTAGTGATATATTCAGAGCTTGATCCAAGAGCTACTAAATAGAAAGGTATCACCACAGTGACCATGTGTTCTTCTCTTTAAATCTCAAAGTTCGTTTTGTTGATTTGCATACCAATTACCTACCATGTAATTTTCTTATCAATTATATTGTCTTCCCCAAAATGAAGGTTCCCTGCCTTATGGATTTTGTTTTTGTGAACATTTTCAGACCCGTTTGATATGTGATTCTTAGAATTGCTGAGGCTTCTGCATTACAATCAAAGGGTTCACTTAAGTGGTTGTCAGTCTAAACAGGTTGAAATTTAGCTGATTTCTATATTGAGACTATATTTTCTGTGAAAATACTGTGGTAAAGCAATTGGATACTGTAAATCATATCATTTTTCCACTATCTTGAGCTTGGATAGTCCTTTTATCTTTGGATCTTTTCCTTTCCTGTTCCAGGTTCACTAGAAATAGCATGGGCCAGCAGTGCTACTATTTGAATTCTGGGCAGCTACTATCCTGTGCTGATATCAGCAACCCTGAACATTTAGCTGTAATGACGATTACTTAACATGCATTGAGCCCTGTCCATGGGCTAGACGTAGAGAGATTCAGGATGAAGCACTTATCTTAATGAGTCAGAATTTGGAGCACCTCAGCTTAATTCATTGTGAGCAGTTTTCGGAGAAAATGGAACAGAAAACTCTGTGGTGTTTTCTACCAGCCTGGTTATTTATAAGCCATCACAAGAAAACTAAGAAAGTGCTCACTTCCTTTCTCCCTCTAGGGAGAACTTCCTTCTCCAGAATTTTCTAGATTATCCCAGGAGCAATGCACTCTTCTTGTTGGGCAGGTGGATCTTGTAGCCCCTTTGTTTAAAATCAGCAGCAGCTTTGCATCTTTCCAGGACAAAATCCAAATTCCTAAACTGAGCACACAAAGCCCTTATCATGGCCTGGCTTCCCATTCTCAACTCACCCCTCCCATCTCAGATCCCCTACCCATCCCCTTTTGCAGTTCCTTGAATATCTCTCAGTTCCCTGAAAACCTGCTACCTTTCCATTGTATGACGTCTTCTTCTGTGTTATCTTAGCTCCTCACTGCTGTGCGCGTGTGACTGGTTCCTGCAATCTTTTAAGAGGCAGCTCAAAACTCACCTGTATTTGAAGGTCACCCTGATCCCTGGAGAGAGGTGGTGACTCTTCCTTACTTTTCATAATAAAAATAGCTCCACCTTGTTGGGTATTTCCCCTTCCTCTGCACTCCAAAAGAAGGACTTTTATTCCCATTTTATGGATGAAGAGATTGAGATTTGCAGAAACTAGCTGATTGAGATCTGAGGAGGTAGCAGAGCAGACATACAAGCAAGGGCTATGGGATTCGAGAACACGTGGACTTCAGTGCACCTTCTATTCTATTGTGACGCCCTCACATACTCACGGCACTATTTGTGGGGCTTCAGAACTCCAAGTTTACCTGTTTCAAGAGAGAGCTCTGGGCTGTGCAGGGCTCCACCCTGTCTCTCACAACCAAGCAAAACACCAGCATGACATGAAGTTGAATTCTCCTCCCAGCTCCCAAATTGCTGCCAAGGCCCCTTTTTCCACTCCTCCCATCCTAAGAATATTGCTTGACTCCTAGGGAAGCAGAACATTATGGGTTTTAGCGTCAGACAGACCTGGCCTGGAGTCTAGGCTCTGTCACTTCCCAGCATGTGAACTTGAGCACATTTTAGAACTCCTTCGAACCACAGGGTCTTCCTCATTTACAAAATGGGGAAGAGATTAGTACCTATCTCACAAGGAAAGCTGGTTGTCAGAATTAAATAAGATGATGCCTATAGCAATTAACCTACTTCCTGATAATAGTAAATGTTCACTTAATAAACATCATCCATAATTAGCAACATCTCATTTCTTAGCCTTGCAAATATCTGCTCATGCATTCATGGACAATTAAGGTATGAGCCGATTTGGGTTTTAATATAATTCTACTCAAGAAGGTTTTCTTTATAAATTATGGCTCCTGCAGTAATTTGACTCCCAAAATTAAAGGAATAAAGTATAATGGAAAAATATCCACCAATGTAACTGGAAATTTTCCTCAGTCTCCAACAAATGACACTGTTTAGGTGACTGCCCCTACACAATCTACCACTGGATTCACATAAGTAGATGAAGACAGATCTTGGCTAATATTTTCTTTTTATTGCCTTTCTTATAATAAGGACTACTTAAACTCCATGAGCATTGCTATGATGATTCAGGTTCCTTCTTACTAGACTACTAGGCAAAAGGTCAACTTGTCCTTTTTTGCTAATGTTGATGGAATGCTTTACCTTGTACATGGTTTTACACCTGTCCTTTCAATCTTCTTGACAACTGGAAAAAGCTACAATTATTTTCACCATTTCAGATTTGAGGAAATCGGAGTTTAGAGAGGTTAGTCACTTACCCAAGATGATACAGCTGAAACCGGGCAAGCAGGGAATGCAGCTTAAGCCTGTCTGACCTCAGAGCCAAAGCTCCTATTCATTATAGGATTTGAACGACTTTTAAAATGGACTTCAACAACTTTTGTATGTTCCCTTCTATTTTCAGACATCTGGGATACCCATCTCTCATAGTCAGTACTGAGTGTTGAATTTTTAACAACTGACTCTCCAGGAGAAAAATCAGTGCTTTCTTATTTTTGTGGTAGAAATAACTTGCACTTGATGGCCAAGTTTAAAACACCAGGATAGTATCAACCAGCTCACAAAATTCCTGAAAGTGTAGCCATCATCTCTCAGGAATAGGTTCAAATGGCACACACAGCTCCAGGACACCCCTGCCAACCATCAGAGTTGGAGAATAGTGATTTCCTAAGCACTTTACCCAACTGTCTTCTAGGTCAGTGATTCACAATCCTGGTGGAACATTTGCGTCACCAGAGAGCTAATGACAATCCGACGCCCTACCTCCAGAGATTCTGATTTCATTGACCTGGGGTATAGCCAGGTCAGCAGTAATTTTATTAAAACTCAAATCATTTGGAGGTACAACCAGGGTTGAGAAACACTGCTCTGGGGAGAAAATATCCTTCTTATCATTCATTCATAAAAGATGCAATGAAAATGTGGTATTCTATATCAAATCTATATTTCCTTCACCTTTTCTAACTTAAGTTTTATAGAGAAATTGACCAGCTATGCTTGTTTATAAGATTTTATTTAACCTAGTTTATTCAAGAAATGATTTCCAATGTATTTTCATCTAAACAGTGAGTGGCATGTAGCAGAAATGCAATGGAGTGTGGTCATTATTATTTTCATTGTTATTATACCTTGAATTTAGTGATCTCTTAACAAACTCTTATGATTCTCTCCTCCACTGATTTTATAACTTGCTCTTGGTTGAGACTCAAATAATTAATGCAATTATGTTTGTCCCCAGGACAAAATTTTCAACATCTCTCCCCAAACAGACCCAAAATCAGGGATCTTCCTTTCTCTCGAAACAACCTAGCTCCCCTACCAGATCAAAAATGTAAGTACCGTGGCTCTTCCTATTCTTCCTTTGCAAGCGTTAACATGTCTAGATGCAACCAATGTTATTTCACCTTATTTTCATTTTGAGAAAGAACATCAGCTACTAACACTTGTGAATTAGAGGAAAACAAAGAATAAAAATAAAGATGAGTAATTCTTATTTTGGATAAAAACTTAAAAAAAGAGTATTCCCTCCCTTCAGAAATGTTTGTGTTTGAACTCTAAAATCAAACCAGAAGTTTATTTTGCTTAACATCTTTAAGAAGGTACTTTCAAAATTCTTGATTTTTATTTCCTTACTGGATAAGACAAAGAGAAATGTGCTTCGCTTTTAAACTCATAGTGCACCTACTCCTAACAAAAGGAATGCTGTTCATCAAGATCATTTGATGTATTTATTTGGCATTCTTGATACATTTGATAGTGTTTTACACAAAAAAACCCACTAATATAAAATATTAATATATACTATGGGCCAGTGATCTTCAAATTTGAGTGTCTAAATATTACCTGGTATACCTACCATAAAGTAGATTACTAGGCATAACACCTATTGATTCTGAATTTATGTAGCCTTATACTGGACTTTAAGGCCAGTTATATTATTATTCCCATCATATAAATGGTAAGACCAAGTTCAGAAGAGTTACATGACTTCCCCAACAACACCCAGGTTGTAAATAGCAGAGCCAGGAGCAAAACTACAGGATCCTAAGTCAGTTCCCTTTCCTCACAAAAAAAGCAACACACTGGATTCTAATTTCCTTCCTTCTTTGTCTTCCTGCCCCACCCTGTCCTGTTTCTCTCTCACATGCCTGCTGTCTCACTCCGTCTCCCCCCACCTCACCCCCCCACAGGCCATTCATATCTTAATTGTCAGATTATTTAAGAACTGTCCTAACCATTTCAGACAAGTTCCTTAACCTTTTTGTATTTCACTTTCCAAACTGTGGCTATAACAAGGGGAGAGCCTGATAAAATGGTTGGAAGGACTAAATAAAATAACATATTTATGTACGTAAAACACTTGGCACATGTTTGCACAGAGCAAACAGGACAATATGTCCTCTTTCCCTCAGGCTACATTTTGCAGGAGACCAGTCAAGAGTTCTAGAACTCTTTAGGTAAAAACAATAAAGTATGTGGTCTTAGTACAACCTCATTTTTTTTGTAGATGAGGAACTAAGGAGTAGTGGAGTATTTTATTCAAAGTCACACAGAGTTAAGAAGCAGAAGACTAGAACCTGACAGGTCAGCTCTTCTGCCCTTCCTAATTTGTGTGAAATCCAAGTATTGGATCAGTCAGAGTTCCGGTTTTGTGTCCTTTTTAATTATTGCATCAAATTCAAACCTGAGCCCATCTTTAAGAAGAACTGTAGCCACAAAGACATCTGGTTAAGAAGTCAGTCTTGAATCCTGGTGGGGCTTGGAAAAGCCAAAGAGGTTTCCTTTGGCCAAGCCCAGAAGTTTGCTTTCACAATTAACTTTCAAGAGAGAAGCCAAAGATCTCTGACCAATTTAACTCGAGGAAAAAGAAATACAAGATCCCAGCAGCTCAGGAGGCTGGAAAGGAGGATCATGAGTTCAAAGCCAGCCTCAGCAAAAAGTGAGGCACTAAGCAACTCAGTGAGGCCGTGTCTCTAAATAAAATACAAAATAGGGCTGGGGATATGGCTCAGTGGTCAAGTGCCCCTGAGTTCAATTCCCGGCAACCCCATCCTCCTCACCCCCTCCCYCCCCCCCCCAAAAAAAAAAAAAGAAAGAAAAAGAAATACAAGGGCACACTGAGCTCTTCCTAAAAGTAGCCTCCCAGCTACTCAGGAGGCTGAGGCAGGTATATTGCAAGTTTGAGGCAACATTGGCAATTTAGCCAGAGTATTGTCTCAAAAAGTAAAAGAAACCTGAGACCCTTTAGAGGTTTGTTTAAAAGCACAGTACAAATGTCTTAGGGCTTGTTTAGAGCCTTGTGCTGACTTGACCATCCATAGCTGCCTCACCCTAAGGAAGAGTTCTGACAGGCACGCAGAGCCCAATCATGTTTTGATCAAACTTGGCAATCTTGTATTTGTGCATATTTGAAATCTCTGACTACATATGGTAAGCCTGAATAGATATGCATACCCAGCATTCCTCCACAGTCCAGCTCTGGCCAACATCTTCTTAGAAATGCCTCCACTCCTTAAGAAATAGCACACTCCCTTGTGAGCCCAGGAGGAAGCAGTTCTTGACCATTTCTTTCTGTTTTTTTCTCTGCAGTTCTATCTGGAGAACCACTAAGAACAAACCGAGTGCTTCCTGCGATTCCAAGTCAAAGGGGACACAGCACACCACTTGGAGAAAGCGATTGCCCTGCCAATACCACCAACACTCCCAACTAACTGGGGGGCCCTGACTGCAGGAACACAGATAGCATATATTTTCAACTCCCAAAGGACGAGATTACTCTAGTTTGTAAGAACAAAGACTAATTTAGTGAACTGCACTCTATAAGCCATTCACAGTTTTTTTTATAACTCAGAATTCCTTATTCCAAATAAAGACAGTTCCTAAATAAGCACTTAGAATCTTTGAGTGTGCATATATTTAAGTCTGTAAGTTTCTGTGACCTCTACTTGCCAAATTTTTAAAAATGTGTTATTAGTAGGGAAACTTAGCTGTGTTTGATTTGCTTTGTGACATGTTTGCTGTTATGTCTGCTGAATGATTTCATGTGTTTTTGTTTTTTAATGCTTTGCTAAATAAAAAAACAAAAAAGATATCCCAGACTTTTCTTCGCATTTATTAAATGACAAAACATAATGAAAATTTAAGTAATAAATTCCCATAAGCATCACAGTCTATGACTTTTAAATGTATGATCTTCTGCAAAATATTTTCTAATATTGTCAGTTCCTGGCTGCAGCCCAAATCACTTGACATTGTCTGTGTCCCATCTTTGTTATTTGATGATTTCCACCTACTGTTTTGTTCAGATATGATTGATTATTCCAAAAGTAGAAGGTCATGTGAGTTGGCAAAGTGTACATCCTGGCCTACCATAATTGAATAGGCATTTCTCACACATTCCTCAAATACTCTACATAATTAATAGTTCTTTTTTTCTGTTTCAAAATAATGGTTTCTGCCTACTCAAGGCCTTCTCAAATCTATGACTTAGTAAGGTTTTGAAAGACTACTTCTAACTGCAGACCTCTTTACTAAGATGTTTATGTGCTGTTTGGATTTATTTTGGCTAGAGTCCTGTATAAAGTTCAAGGCTTAGCCACATAAGATGATGAATACTCCCTGTAATTTCTGAGCTTGCATGTTATTTTGTAAATATCTCAACTATAGGATTTACTACTTTATATTAGTATTATTCTTTTAAAAAGAACAGACTCTCCCATTAGCTACATAGAAGCTCCTTTAGGGCCAAATTGCAGTTCTTTGATTTTGCCCTTCTAGAAATTTGTGCCGAGCCTGGCACAAAGTAAACACTGGGTCATTTAATATTTATCAGGAAGGAACAGAAGTAGACAGGGAGTTGGCAAGAACAGGAATTGTAGAAAGTGATAATGAAGAAGTCACAATCCCATTTTGACAATGGTAGTTGTCTTAATCAGACGTTTTTAACTTAAAGTCTATGGATCAACCTCCAAGCTGTGCCACAGCTAGAAAGAAGGAAAATTCTGGTACAAATAGAAGAACTCTCAGGACTCAGATTCTGAAGGGTTTTCTTTTTTGTTGTCTTGTTTGTGGGTTGTGTTTTTCTTTGAAGAAGAATGCTTTGTTCGATGTGCCACCAGGCTACTTCTGAACCCATGTCCATGAGTTAGACATCTTGTCAAATACTACCTATAGGCTAGCTTCTGCTTCAATAATAAACAACCCCAAAAATCTCATTGGCTGACACAATTTGTTTCTCATCCACAATACATGTCCCACGCCAGCTTGCAGAGTTGGATTGATATAGATTCCTTATTGCCATGTGCTTCCTTGGTGACCAAGGCAGAGGAAATGAGACATGTGTCTCATAATTTCCTTTAGCATTTCATTAGCCAAATCAAATCATGTGGGCATGACTAACTTCAAAGAGGGAGGGAAAGGAGTACAGAAATGTAATCCTTGCATGTGTCTGGAAAGGAGAAAATTAGAATATTTATGAATTATCAAAAGAGGACTGCACTAACCAAAACTCAGGTCCTAAGTGATCATTTAAGGACACTGGTATGATCCTCCTCTAAGTAAATAATTAAAGAGGTCAAAGTAATTTAAAAAACAAAATGCATATTGCTATGGGAAAAGCCACTATCCCCTAATGTCTTCACTTCTTTATATACACATACACACAAAGAATCTTCTGATGTCAGGACTTTCTTTCCAATTTAGTTTAGGAATTGTTTTTAGCTATGAAGAAATAAAATGCTGCTCACTTCCACCTCTTTCAATAGAGCAGCTGTCCTTTCCCCTTCAGCTAAAGTTGCTTACTGGGCAGATTCATCCTTGGCTAATATTTTACTGACCAAATCAGAATATTAACTACTAGAGTTTGGATCTAAAATATCTCCCAAAGCCCATGTGTTCAAGTCCCCAGCCTGATGTTATTGGAGAAGGTGAAATATTTAAGAGGTGGGACCAAATGTAGGCTTTTCTATTATTTTGGGCATACCCTTGAAGGGGACAGTGGGACTCTGGCCCCTTCCACTCTCTCCTTTTTTTAAATTCTGGCCATGAGGTAAGTAGGTTGTTCCACCTTGTGCTCCTGCACTATGTGCTGCTTCACCAAAAATCCAGATTCAATGGGGCCAACTAGTCATGGACTAAAACCTCCAGAACTCTGAGTCAAAAATAACCCTTTTCTCTCTGTAGATTATCTCATGTATTTTGTTACAGTGATGGAAAGCTAACTAACACATTGAGCATTCTCTAACTAGTACCTGACTTTTAAAAATTTCAGGCAACCTTTTCTTCTCAAATGACTTTTCCTTCTTTTATCACTTATATTTGCCTTCATTGCAAAGAATATATTATTCATTTACACATGTAAAAATCATAACTCTGCATATATTATTTCATTTGAATCATTACAACAACAAGAGGCCCTGTCACCAGACAATTCAAGGCAGAAAAAGAAATTAAGTGAATTTCCCCAAGTCATCCAGCTAATAAATGGAAGAGAAGGGCTTTGAATTAAAGTTTCTTTAGTTTCATCACCCACACACAGAATACCCAAACCATTGTTTTCTGGTTCCAGAAAATTCATTCTCATTTCATAGAATGACATACTTTGGGCAAAAACTCCTTTCTGATTTGTACAGTAGAGCAGAGCTGCTGTTGTGATTTGAGGAAAATGCCTACCAACTCAGTACTTTGTGCTAAACCATATAGGGTTGTTGGTTTTTTCCCATTTTTTTTAGTTTCCTTTGGTAATCACCTGGTTTAACACAGGTATTATTTCTTCCAGTAAACACTTGATCCGATATTCTCATTTTCCTGGAATTTAGCCAGTACAAATAGATTTATATAACTCTGATTTATTATCCTTTCCAACTTTACCAGAGCATATAGCTTGACATTCCATATGATTTTAGAAAACTCTACCAAGTGACTGATTACAAAAATAGTGACTTCCTGAAATACAAACATAACCATTAATTTTGCTTTTGCCTCTACCTTTAGAAATTTATCAGTGCACACCTCTAAGCAAATGCTACCTTGCCCTTGAAATGTACTCTTTTGAAAACAACCTTTGGAATTCACCAAAGGACTAAATGGGATAGCTTAGAATAAGCATATTTGACCTTAGCATAACACCCAAGTCAACAACCAAATAATAAAGGAGTATGATAATGTTATGGGCCAGGCTGTATGGGCAATGACCAAGCAGACTCCATTTTGCCCTCAGACTCCACATCATTAAGAAATGCTTCTCCCATGGAAAGCCCCGCCTCTATACCCATCAATAGTTGCTTAGCATAGCATGTTTGGCAACACAAAATGGCAATTCTTATACAATGTAAAAGTGTTCTCTCTTTGGTTCCCATTTTTCTTGGACAATGTATCCTGTCAGAGACTGATTGTCTAGATGTTAGTAACCATTCTTTAACTTGTGCTCAACTAGGGACATTTTTGCCCACTCCCTTTTCTGCTTATGATTTTAGATCTCATGATGTGTGTTTATGGTTTTGAATGATAGCAACAGCCACTTATGCTTTAATATGGTTTTGGACTATAAAAGGTGTGCTTAAACCCCAGAAGGGGATTGGAGGGTATAAACTTCAGCCTACCCCTTGGCCCACCAGCTGGTGGATCCAGACTGCTAACTGGTGCATAAAGTTTCCATCTCCTACTTTAAGATGGACTAGTGATTTATTGCAATCTCACCTTAACAATAACAATTCTCACATGTAGTAGTTAGGCCTTATCATTGTCTCCCTGGGGAAAATTACATTTTTAAATGAAGAAATTCTATCAGAATCACATATTTCCTAGACATTGACATAGAAATGTCAATACATGTGGATTAAAACTATTAATAAATGATAAGTTCATATCAAAACTATAGCCTTTCAAAGAAAATGCTTTCAATTCTGACTTCTATTTTCTCCCACCTCTTGTTTTGGGGGTTTGCTGAGTGAGTTTTCAGCTACCATTTTACACTAGCAAAACCGTCACTAGCGGGATAAGAGTAGTTATCATGTTGATAAATGTAAAACAGGAAATAACTTGTTAATCATTAAATCCCTACTAAAAAGAAAAAATAAATCGTACTAGGGATTGAGCCCAGGGGAGTTTTACCACTGAGCTACATCACAGTGCTTTTGTGGTTTTTAATTTTGAGAAAGGTCCCACTAAGTTGTTTAGGTCCTCACTAAGTTGCTAAGGCTGACCTTGATCTTGAAATCCCCCTACCTCAGCCTCCCAAGCTGCTAGGATTATAGACATGAACCACCATGCCCAGCAAAAAAAAAAAAAAAAAAAAAAAAAAATTATTAATGGCAAATGGTAAAACACCTTGCAATTTCTAGTAAGACCAATGAAAGCAAAAGTCCCTTTAGGAGGATCAGGTAGAATCTAAGTGGTTGACAGTAAAGATAGGAAGCTGAAGTTTTTGGAGACTGAGGTCTGCTGTAAAATGAGAAGGTGGGGTGGAAGACAGAGCAGAAATCCAAGAACTGAACCCAGATATAAACAGATGGCCATGAGCAACATCTCTGCTGCTCCAAAAGTGAACCTGGGCCAGAGACATAACAGTGATTGATATAGAAGGAGGAAGGAAATTATTTCCATTGCTTCTATGCATGTGACATAAAAGTACTTCCAAAAGCTATTAAGAGAAGCTACTTAGACACTGATAATAAGAAAGACAGGTTATGAGAAAACAAAACCACATCTTAGAGCCCAGAAAATTTTCCTCTGCAATGAGCAAGCCAAGGCCCAGCCTCAGCCTCAGAAAAAGGAGCTCTATTTCTCTTGACAAACACCTCAGACATTGCTCATAGAGCTCTTGGAAGATTCCAACTGCACCTTCTATTTACTTCACTAGGACTAGATTTAATCAGGTCCTACCTATAAGAAAGATACTGGGCTACAAGTATTAATGTTCCTTCATCAGATTAAAAAGGAAGCTCAAGACCTTAAAAATGGCCAGGTGCAGTGGCCCACACCTGTAATCCCAGTGGGAGGCTGAAGGAACTTTGGATAGGGCAA